TCTAAGGTCTTGAACCACAGTGATGGTTTCAGCTTCCAACCGTCCCTTCTCTCTCTTCATCCTTTTCTTTTCCCACAGTTATGGCCTTTATAGATCTGGAGTTTTGCTTAGAAAGGTCATTGACTTCTTACCAAAAGGTGATTGGAGAGTCATAATGGTCCAAGTTTACCTGTGGGATAATAGATTACAGTAGTCTGTTTATCCAGGTCTGGTGTTCACCTGCTGCAGGAAAACTTGTCATAGGATATGAAAATGGCCCATAACTCTCTTTATATAAGCCCAGTGCTAGCCATCCCCACACTCTGTAAAGCAAATGAAAAGGATATTCAATGTTAATACAACTGACCAAGAGATTAAGGAACATTCAAAAGTTTTCTTTCAATTTCTATAGATCACACATACCTATAATGACACTTCCTGTGGATTCCTGTTTTGTTTTCATCTTTATTTCTTCCCTCTTCCCTTCTTTTCTTTTCTTTGAGTCTATTGTTTACAATTTTAGCCATAGAAACTCTCTTCCCTTAAATTAACAAATACTACAAGGATTAGAAAACCTCACATAAAACAGATTGTACCATCTCTTCTATACAAGACTGATTTGGAAAGTGGAAAACTTATGAAAGGTATACTATTTATTATTCAAACATCAAATATTTGTTAAACACTTATGTAATCTGAGTTCAGGATGTACCATTTCTGTATGTAGGTACTGGCTGCTGTTTCTGCTTTTTATGGTTAAGTTAGGCAATAATGGTGTTGGAAAGGACAAATAAAGTCTGTGAAGCCCTTAAAGAGGCAGTGACTTATACAAACTGTAGAATATCTTGGATGACTTTGCTTTCCTGGCCTCCAGGAAGATATCCCTACCTTGAGACAAAATACAGATTGAGAAATGTAGTCGCAGAAGCTTATGAAGCTAAGCCCAAGTCTATTATTGCATATGAGACCAGCTGACTGCTTTAAGGCAGCCTCAGAACCCTAGAAAAGAAACAGCCTACTAAGTCATGTACAAGTCTTTGAAACCAAGGAAACTTGGGCATCATTTATTTGCAAAAGTCCTTATACTGATGGAGTGTGGAAGGAATACATCCTGAAATTGACCACTTAGTCCCTTCAGAGTCCAGGTATCCAAATGTAGGAACCAGCACCCAGTTTTGCAGTGTGTACCAATACCACCTGGGAACACATCCAACTTCCCACTGTTGCATCTTTGACCTGAACTCAGAATCTTTTTGTCACCCAGGGAGTAAATAGATCACTCCTTATCTTTTAAGGGTAAAATAAACAATAAGATACAGGTAACGTAAAATTTTATTACAAATATGATTGGAACTAGTATTCATTTGAAAATGTAAAAGTTAAAAAAAGCACCTCCTACTGGAAACAAAAGTGTTCATTTTTCTGATAAGCATAATTTATTGTATTTCTGTTGTAACAAAAACACTATGTACTTCCGTTGGGGCGGCAAAAGGAAGAAATCATTTTGCTATATCTCTTTGCTGTCTGCAGAATAAAACACTGTCCATGTTTAAGAAACTGCAGATGAGAACACAACAAAAACACAACAATCTTTTTATTTATGTAAATCAGGTTAACACTGGACAATAAACCAATTTCTACCCAATACCATAACAGCTTGTCTATAAAGAACAGAAAAATTCAGATAGGATTCTACCTAGGGTCAAGCGTTTTTTTTTAAAAAAAAAAAAAACCACCCATTCACAGAGGTATAGATTCACAGATAAATAATCCCAAACTACTTGCCCATCATATTTACACATTCCCATTAAATTAAGCATAAATAAATATATACAAACTTAACACGGATACCCTCCAGAGTGCTCTCAAGAAGAGGCTGTTGGTATTCCTTGACTGGGTGGTTAAAAACAATGATAGTGAGTTAGAGACGAACTCAAAAGGGGAGTCGTTTGCCATTTAAAGAAGAAATGGTGTTCATTCCTTTTTTTTTTCTTAAAGAAAGTGAATGAATTTCAATACTTCTCTTTTCTTTCACCAGTAATTTAATATACATCAGCAAAGGAGAAAAACCTTGTCAGAACTCTTGAGGCAGTGCTGGATGGTTTAAGGTCATTTCCTTTCCACATAATGTACTGCAGGTACAGGATATCAGGTGTGATGATTCAACGCAAGTGCAAGGGAAGAACTATGCAGATAAGTTAGGGGGTTGGGAGTTTCCATTCGACCAGCGTTTTCATAGGATGTAAAATAGTTGCTCAAGAGAAAGTGGTTTCCTTGGCCAACGAAAACAAAAGTCGGATCTTTGAAAGCCCCTGAGGGTGGGGTGGGCTCTTTATATGGGGGTGGAGCCAGGCAAAGCTGAGGAGGTAGGGGAGAAGGAAGAAAATGCAAGATAAGTCCCTGGAGATGGACCCCCTCACCTGGAAGCAAACTCCATGAAATCCAGGATGAAAGTAGAGTAGGAGTGATTGGCTAAGCAAAGCCTGGAAGCAGCTCCAGGGAACTAGGCTGCCGCAGGCTTACTCTTCTGTCTTTAGTTATTTTGGTTTGTCACCCCAGGACTTTAGTAGGGGCCTAAAACGTCTACAGAGTGCAGGGGGAGAGGAGGGGACTGCAAGTCACCTGTTTGGTTTGAAAACAAAACTCAAAGGGTCTGGCCTTAAACGTTTTCCTTGACTTAAAAGGCAAACTCTTGTGCTAATCCTACTGTTTATTGATTTATAAGCCCAAGGAAACCAAATCTTTTAATAACTCAATTATCAGATAAACGTAGCTGGCCTGGCTAAGGAAAGCAAGGAGTTGGAGGTCCGACATGAAAAAAAGAGGAAAGAAGGCCAAAAACTGACTACTCACTCAGGTCGGAAGGCCGCCAGGGAGTGGGTGGGGGAGGTTGGGAAGCCGAGTCTATCTACCCGAACCTGCCCAGATGCTCACACAGAGAGCTGGGCATCTAAGAGAGCCTACCTACCCAAATATGACAGTTCCTATTTGGTGCCCACACTGCAGGAGAGGGGGGATACAGACCAGTTTCCTTCCTGGCAGAAAAGAACACGTGGAAGTTTCAAATTCTGTGAAATTTTCCAGGCCACAATGTCTATAAAGTGAGACCCGGAGTGACTGTTAGCGGCAAAAGGACTTTACGGATAACTAGGACCTCCTCCCCTCCCCCGCAGCAGTCAGTGGGGCACCGACCCTTTACCTACTAGGGGATTGGCCTTTCTCGGTTGCCTTAGCCCTTAGGGTGAGACTGAGAGCAGGAAGGGCCCGTGTGACCGGCGACCCCAGCAGCTGCTGATTCTATGTCCTCAACACCACTGGGCTCCAGTGGCCCACAAGTTCCCGGGACCTGCACAGTAGTAAGAGCAAGGCGCATCCATCGCGTCTCTCGGTGTCACACGCGTGGGGCGCGTTGCCCTGCAAGGAAAGGAGACGATGTTTTTCAGTGTGTTTTCTGCTGGCCTTGTTCAATCAGAATTCAACTAAGGCAAGCATCAGGCCCTCGGACAAAAGGGGCCGGGCTTTTAAACTGGGGAAAGTCTCGAGTCTATAGTTCACACAATGTCTTTTTCCTGCCCTCTACACTCCTTTCGGCTTGTCGAAGACTGTGTCCTGAGAACTCACAGGACAGAGAAGCAGCTAGAAATAGGAGATGAGATGTTGTCTGACCTCATTTGTTTCTTACAACCTCCAGTGACCTAAAACCCACTGCGTGACTTTCCTTTCCCTCAAACAAAACCCTCTGAGTCAAGCTCTCAGAGAGTCCCTAAAACTTTAGCCTCCTTCCCTTGCTTTAAGGTGGATTGGAGAGGGATGGTGAAACTGGCTGTCCAGGTCTTTTGGGGTGGGGAGAGCTATCTGTAAACCACAGAAAGCAACTGAGCTTTTATCCCAATGGATTTTGCAAAGATCCCGCCTAGGCTGTTGAAAAAGAAACAAGGGTACCCACACTAACCTATCTCACCAACCAAATGCTCCGAGGATTTCACTGCTCTTGCTAAAGGTGCAGGCTTATTTCCTGGTAATGCTAAGATGTAGTATGGGTGAAAAGTTAGGGTGAGAGAAGTGAGATACATTAAATGCTTGGATCCTCATTGACTGGGAATATTCCCAGTATGTCCAAACAGGAATTTGAGGCTGAAATACAAGCTCTTTCTTTCACTTTGCGTGGTGATGGTGTTTGTGGTGGTGGTGGTTGGGGTGATGGTGGGTGAAATGAATTTTGTGCCCAAATAAATGTATGTCTGAAAGGGGACACTTTTATTCAGAAGGCTCACGGTCATTTGTAGACTGTCTTCCCCAAATAAATCCGTATAGCTGCTTCTTTCTCCATTAGAACGATCCCCAAAGAGCCCCAAAAAATGCAATTCGTTTTTCAGTGAAGACAAATACTGTTAGAATATAGATCCCCAAGAAGGCTTACTCCCTTACAAGGCATTCTGAAGTGACCCACCCCTGAGGGAATTCCTGTGTTGAAGGGTATAAGCAAGAAGACTCAACGGGGCTGCCCCCCACCCTCCACGCTGGCCACTTCCTAGATGAGTTCCTTTGAGCTTCTTTAAAGAAGTGAACCTGCCCAATTCTGACACACAGGCTTTGACTTTAAAAGGATCGTTTTTTTTTTTTTTTTCTCAGTACCTTATAGATTGTGTAGGAAGCCCAAGTCTTCTTTGAAGAAGCTCATAAACCATGCGGGTAAAGCTTTGGGAAACAGAAGAAAATGAAATGGTACATACCCCTCCGAAGGAATTACATACTAATCAAAGTAATCGTGTTTTGTTTTCTTTCTTTTTTAAACTCTACTTCTAGATGACACAAGTATAACGAATGTGATATTCTCTGTGAACAGGTGCTGGCAAGTCTGGGAACTAGTAACGTTTTCTGAAAGGAACCATGATGAATCAACTTATCGGTCTGGTTTCCTCTGCCGCGGGAGTCTCGACTCTCAAGACCGGATCAAAAGCTAAGGCCTTTCTCCCCCACCCCCACCCCGCGCCACCCCCACCCCCTCCACGCCTCCCTAATTAAACACACAGGGGGTGGGGAGTTGGGCACCGGGGAGTTAGGAACGAGGCGAGGTCTGGACACCAAAGGGACTAACAACGGCCAAAGAACTAATCACAGCGGGGATCCTCCAGCAGATTCCCGGAACCGCGGGAGGGAGGGATGCAGCCTTAAGAAGGGTGAGGAGGAGCGCGCGGACTGCGAGAGTTTCCTTTAAAAAAAATTAAAAATTTAAAAGTTCGTGCGTCTCAGTCAACCAGCTCTCAAAGCATTGACACAAACGTTTCTCCAATTTTCTTCCAATAAGTTAGCGTGTTCTCACGTTTAGTCTCATGTTTATTTTCCAAAAGGGGGGTTCATAGTTTTCTTTTATTATCTGTATTACTAAACTCGAAAGAACCGAAGTGGAAAATCCGGACGGTTGTCTCCATGTGTATCTTGAAATAGACACCGAGAGCCAATTTGTCGCTCCGTTGATGCCTCAGTTTATTTTTTTTTTAAAGTTACTTAACTTTCTTTTTTTAAATTTTGATTGTATGTGTATTCTACCTAATATAATTCTTCCAAAGCCAATCCAATATGTTAAAGCTAAAATTTTTTTTCTGTTTTCCTTTTGTATTTAAAACATTTTCCTTCTCTTTATTTATTTATTTTTTTTCATTTCCTGTGTTTTTCCTCCTTGTCGCCAGTTTTACTACCTGGGCCTTCCCCAGACGTGTGCCTGTTAGTGGTGTTGTTCAAGAACATCTTGTCCATGCCTTTGAGCGCTTCGGTGAGATAGTTCTGCAGGGCCGTGAGCGCAGCGCAAATGGCCGGGGCGCCGAAGCCGTGCGTGATGAGACTGAAGTGCGTGAGGCAGCTTTGGATGCCCGGTTCCAGGATGGGACTGGGCCGGCTGTTACCGATCGGTGTCCGGTCCTGCGCCAGCAGATCTGTGAACTCTTTACAAAGTTGCCTGCGGGCAGTGAGGGAGGAAGAGAAAAAACATCCTCAGAGTCCTGGAACCGAGGCGTACTCTCACACAAGCCCAGAGGCCTTGGGTCTGTGGAGAGCAAGACTGACTTAGGAGATTCGGCTGTTTCTTTCCCTAGAGCGCTCCCTCGACCCAGCAGCTGGCTCTGCAAGGGACCCGGTGAGAGGAATGCACCTCTTCCACCACCCTCACGCCTTCCCTCTCCCTTCCCGGACCACCTGTATTCTGCTTTAGGAAATTCGCTAGGCATTTTGGCTTTTGATTTCGAATAGTCAATAATTTTTGGCTGATACGTGACATTTCCTTTAATTATTTCCCCTCCTTGCCTTTCCAACCTTTAGGGCGCTCGCGCCACACACACACACACACACACACACACACACAACCTGAAAGATTTAAAACCCCTCAGCCACAAGCCTGTCCCTGGCACCGAAGCAGATTGCTGGAACCTTGCATGGCCCAGGGCAAAAACCTGTTTATTCTAGAAGAGAACGCTGATTCCATTCGAAGCAAAACCCCTTTACCTGCAGCATTTTGGAAGAGAGATATCTCTTCCCTTCTTTAAAAAAAAAAAAAAGTGTCCCACTTTTTTTTTTTTTGCAAATGTAAGCTACTAAAAATTTGTGTGACAGGACTGTTGTCAATATAAAAAGATTTCTGCATAGTTTAAATAAAATTTAAAGGTAGATGGTTAAAACACAAGGGAGGATAGATTTTTATTTGTTGAAGGTTTTTAGGTTTTTATTTCCTCAAGGCACCTACAATTTAGAGAAATCTCCTTGCCTTAGGAACCCTGTGCGCCCAACTATGGATTGGGCTTATTTGAGAGAGTTTTAATATAGGAAATGGACGGGAGGCGTTTTACCCCTGAAGGTTAAATAGCTTGGCTCTGCTGGCAAGCTGAAGCCTGGCATCCCAGAGACCAAAGCCGTTCTCAGATTGGCATACTTTTCTTGACCACCTGCCTTCTCCCAGACTATGGTTCTGTGGGGTGTCAAGAGAAGCAGACCTGTATAGCATAGTGGACTTAGACAGCCAGAAATGGTTGATAGGACATGGAGGCCTAACTATCAGGTAAACATGGCAGATTTCTGTGTTTGAAAGACCCTTGGGGCACCCTTCCCCAGGGTGCTGCTATGTTGCCCAGGGCCGGCAATAAACCTAATTGGGAATCCCTTTTCCATCCACTGACAACCACGGAAAGATTGACAGACATTCTTAAGGCAGGCTTGGGGGATAGAGAGCACTGATAGAGACTCTGCCTACCCTCTAAGGTCTTCATTCAGAACACATCCACATATCCCCCACAGCAAGTAACTTTGCTCACCCAATAGGGCTGGCCTCAGTGAGTTTCACGTGCTCGCTCCAGGCTCTGAATCACCTCCCTTCCATCTGGGTCCAGACACAAATAAAGTGGAAAAGCTCCCAAGGTGGTTCTGATACCCTAGGCTACAAAGTAGTGGCCTTAAAAATCCTAAGGCTTCCTGGTGGGTGGGTAGGAGGTGTCAAACCACCCCGTTAGGAAACTAGGAGGTTCTTTGGATCTTGTTACCTGCTTTAGACCTGTTAAGTTTTGTTGTTGTTTGTTTGTTTTTTCCCCTAAAGTTCTCTGTTTCATTTATAAAATACAACTGGTCCTTATTCTCAGGTCCCCGAGCAAGAGGGTAAGAGCATATACTCACGAACAAAAATACTATGACATGGCTAGATAGCACATTAGCAGAAATCCTTCTAAAATGAGGGCGTGTGCCAGGTTTTGATCATTGGGAAAGATGATTAAAGTCGTTCCTTAAGTTTGTAGTCATTTCCAAAGTGCCAAAAAAAAAAAGTAATTTTGTAGTGCGGAGAACAAATGTTTTAAGAGTGGAGAATTTAAAAATCTACACAGCCCAAACCAGGCTCTGTAAGCAATTAAACTTCTGGGACATTAATATTTTTTGACCCTGCGGAAAGGGACAATCAAATTCCAATCACGTCTCAAAAACATCTGGACAAATTTGAGCAAATGATTTTTCAGCCTTCCATATATTTCTTTAAATTACGCTGTCAACGGAACAAACCGCGTCCTGGAACGCTAAATAAATGAGCTGAGCGCTGCTGTTTAGACCGCGCCCGCGAGAGAAACGTGCTGGTGCACGAGGTGCCGCCCACTGCAGGCCTGAGCTGGTCATAAAACACCAACAATATGACACCGAAGCCAAAGACAGGAGTAAATCAAATAAATAGAAAACCCACTGTAAATGTTCAAATGAGCTCTAGACCTAAATTTAGCCAGAGATTTACTGTTTTCCCCTCTGGAGCTGTCGTAAATTTTACAAGTCCCGTGGAAGATGACAAACAGCAACGTTGGAGATGGAGTAATTAGAGCTGTGGGTAGAGATGGGCACACGTGGGTGACATATAGACACCCTGAGCGAACACACATGGCTGTCCTTCCGATGGCAAGGGGGACCACTGCAAAGCCTAGACAGAAATATTCACCTAGGGGCCTGGGAAGAGATTGGGGAAAATCTGCCTGACGACACTCCAGGTGTCAGGAGGAAAAACAGTCAAAAGCCTGCTTTCTCTTTGTATACCGGGACTGGGACAAGCCTTAACCCTCAAGTCTACTTCATCACCACACATACACACACACACACACACACACACACACACACACACACACGCTCATGCACGCACACACAGGCACAGGCACCCTTCCTGACAAGGCACTTTGAACCCAAACCAGAGAGGCTGCACGACTCCAGCTCCACAGTTTCCTTAGAGGAGTTGGGTCAGGGAGGGAGCCCAGGATCAGGGCCCAGGGACCTGGGAACTCACTTGGTGGCCAGAAGCATATTCTTTCTGGAGTGCAGGTCACTGGGGTCCGTGTGCTGTCTGTTCAAATACTCAGACACGGCTTTAGCAGGAAACTCTGTTTCGCAAATATACCCAAAGTCCCGAGCTAAGTGAACGGCTTCCCCTATGAGGAGAGCAGCAGAGCGTCAACACCCAGGTCATGAACACCTTAGGACAGATACGGAACAAACTCAAACCCAAGACCGATAAAGTACAATTAAAGAGAACAGGACAAGCCTTACTCAGTCAGCCTCTGCCTAAACCAGACTCCAGACAGATACTGCACCCCACCCCTCCCCCGCAAGAGACGCAGGGGTCCTCCTGCAACTCACTCACTTGGGGGTAGGGGCTCCAGAGCCACCTTACAGCTGAATCTAGACCTCTGGCAAGGTATGCCAGCCAGTCTCCTCTGTTCTACTTAAATATTCTACTTAAAGCACCAGTTACACCTGCTTGCAATGAAATGTGGAAGTGGCACCATCTTCCCACAATTCTATTAGGCAAATTGTCTCATATTTATAACTAGCATGCATAAACACATCCATGCGTGTAAACCTTGCTGAATATTAATAACTGCGTCTAATATGTGCTTGAAGAGTATTTCTATTCAGCAGCAAAACTCTCCAATTCACCCTGCACTTTTCTGCCTGTGTCCAGGTTTTTCTCTTTCAGAGCTTGCTGTCATCCTACTCCTCTTTCAAAACCTGTCACTGCACAAATACATAACTGCAGGCACCGGGGCACACCAGGCGTTCTGGAGCTTAGGAGGAAGACCCTTTGGAATAAAGCACTACTACCTCTTAGGGCACAGCCTTCGGGACTAAGGAAAGATCACAAACAGAGAATAAAAGGGGAAGTGTTGAATTATCTCACAGATACATTATTTTGAGGGACTGTGACTTGCTTTTAGTGATATCATAATAACAAAAGACTTCAAGCACAATGCTTACAAGGTTTCATAGTACCAAAACTGTGCACCAAATATTATCATTTTGGTGTGATTTCCAGGTTCTTCCCTTTCCATCCCAAAGTATCTATCTCGTGTTAAGATCACCTTGACTGTTTCGAAAATGGGGATTTTGATATTAATGATTCCCTAAAAACAAAATGGGATATTCACAGGCAGAGAAGTGTCAACCACTAGCAAGTGGGATTGAAAAATGTGGTGACTTAAGGCCTCTGGTGGGTGAGTGTGAGCCAAAAACCCTTTGCCTTAAAGATGGTGCTATGTAGTGCCTGCAACTCTTTGAGCTCTTCATGGTCATTCTTTTTGATAACATAAGGTGAAATCCTGCAAGAACCAATTCCCTACAAGAGCCCTAAAATCATATCTACTAAAATATGGAAGAGAAACAAACAAACAGAAACAGGACACGGGAAGACTCCAGAGAAAATTATCCATGGTCTTCCATGTGGTCCCCTTGGCTGTGTTTCTTGTTGCCCCTCCACACATTCAACAGCAGTCAGTCTTCTTCTAGGCAGCATAGATGATCTTAATTATTCCTGGCCATAGATTTCAACTGAACACTCAAACTGACAAGCAAATGAGAAGTTTCTTAGTAAAACTGTGGCCATTTAACTCACAACCAATGAAGTTGCCTTGAAGATTCAACTTGCCTCTCAATACTGTCTCATAGCGCCTTCCCTGCCCCTTAGTTTTCTCATAAGCATTGCTGGACTTGCTAAGGTATGGATATCTCTTTAAGTCCTACAAGTTGGGTGACAGAACCCTGGAATGGTCATGAGTTTTACAATAACCATTAAGATTCATGAACTCTACATGTTTTCTTATGTCTTTTAATTTTTATTACATTTATTGGGGGGTGAGAGAGTAGAGGTGGAAGGGAAACCAGGGAAGACCTCTCCTCCTATCTTGTGGGACCTGGGGGTGGATACCAAGTGGTCAGGGTTGAAAGCAAGTGCCTTTCCCCTCACCAGCCTCACCTGCTTTTTATCAGCAAACACTTTTGCAGCTCACAGAGATGTTATAACAGGAGCTTAAGCAGAGGATGCTTCAGTCACTATGGCCAGGGAAATGACCCCTTCTCTGACTTGGAGATTGGGCCTGATCCCTGTTTGAAGCACAGGAACTTTTATATCCTTTGTTTTTCCGCTTCCCTGCCGCTTGCTAGCCTCCTCTAAGTAAAAAGACCTCTGATGTCTCTCCTGCAATCCCTTGACATCCAACTCATGAGGGCACAGCAATCACAATGATTTCCAGTTAATCATGAAACATGTAAAATGTCAGCCTCCAGCCGACAGTTAAGCTCAGCTACTTGGCGAAATGGCTCTGGGTCTTGCTTACCTTCCACCAGGGAGGTGAGTAAGGTGACATTTGCTGCTTTGCGCCTGCCCGCGGGTAAATTCAAACCGATTTTTTCTAGCCTTTCTCTCAAGGATCTCCCCCCATTTTTCGATTTGGCTCTGCAATTGCAAGAATTAACATTCTGATTAACCTCAGAGTGTTCCTGAAACAAAGTTTAGACTTAGCAATCTAGAGCCCAGTGGAGCTTGAAGGGGTTTTAACTTGAGGTTAGCACTGCTGCATCCCTTCCCTTCAGTTATTCGCTGAGAGTTTGCTGAGGCTTGCTTAATTTCTGCAATACAGAGCATAGAAAGTAAGTCTTTCTAAAAAAAAAAAATAATCGTGTGTGTGTGTGTGTGTGTGTGTGTGTGTGTGTGTGTGTGTAGCAGGGAGATACCAGATGGGAATAATTAGAATGAAGAGTAGTAGGTGCAGAAAACGTAAATATTGGTCATGTGCATGCAGAGGTTCACTGGCCATGGAGCCTGTGAGGAGAGCAGAATCCAGGCACGCTTTAAAAAAAGAAAAGAAAGAAAAAAGGGCTAGTTTCCAGAAACAGGTAGGCTTCTAAAGGAAAAACCAAAACCCAACTGCATAATGGAGACATTTTAGAAGGGGAGAGAGGATTGACGTTTGTAATCATGTAATGTTTGTTATGATAGCAACAATACCAACACTTTTGAGCTTGCTAATACGATAAACACTTTGTCTTCACTATCACAATTCATAAATTTTATACACTCATGTTCAGGAATTGAATTAAAACATTCCCCACTCAGGAAGCTGGGGTATGGTGGTGCACACCCAGCACTTGAGAGGCGAAGAAAGGCATATGTCTGAGTTCCAGGCTAGCCTGGTCTACAGAGTGAGTTCTTGGTTCTAGGACTGCCTGGGATACACAGAGAAACCTTGTCTCAAAAATCAGTGATGATGATGATGATGATGATGATGATGATGATAATAATAATAAACAACTATCATCATCCTGACTCTGAACTGAAAAGACTAACTTGAAAAGAAACAAGGACAGAGCAAGGAAATTTACAGTAAGACCCGTTCTGGGTCACAACAACAGCATTAGCTTCCCTCTAGGCTCCCATGTCCTCTAAGAGCTGAATAAAAATAAAAGGAAAGTGGTTACCATGGTGAAGCATGTTGCTGTGCTTCTCACCCAGTCACTTTTAGGAAAGAATGGGAGAGTGAACATCTCAAGTGGGTTGACTTCAGAAAGTACTGTCTCATACAAAGTCACTTAACCAGGGCAGTGCCGAGGGTCCAGATGTTGGCACAATAACCATTTCTTTCTCCACTTTCACCAGGAGCCTATCCATGGGTGGCAGTGTTGGAGAGCAATTGCATGGCCCCCAGAAAATGACGACTTTTCATTATAGAAGAGTATTAACGTTGTGAGATGTGATGCTATTGCAGGAAGGTTACTGAGTAGAAAAGGGTTTTTACAAAATGTGAAGCACAATATACTAGTGCATTGATCAGGAGACCAATGTAGCTATTCTCCATCTGTATTGTTAAACTAGTGAAATGGAGAGTATATGGAAAGCATGATGGAAGCCGCCTTTTCGGTTTCAGGTGAGATGGGGAAGATAGGTTCAGGTTTGAACTCAGGCTCATGCCCCAGATGTGAACTCACTTAGTTGAGAGAATCTTGCTCTGGCAAGAAAGTGAAAGGTTTCTATGGCTGAATTAGCAAGGAGGACTGCGCATGCGCAAATAGGTCCGAGATGGGTGGGGCTTGCGTTGGAGAACTTAGCTCTTGAGGGCTGTACACCGGGCTAGTAGCTTCTACAGCTTTCCAGTGGCGTCACAAGGAGCTGGGCTTAGATTCCGGGTTGCTAGGCAACTGCATCGGACTTTCTCCCTCGGTCTTCACAGCACCCTTCTCCGTGTGTGTGTGTGTGAGTGTGTGTGTGTGTGTGTGTGTGTGTTGGTTGTTGTTGTTGTTTATTTTATTTTGTTTTACCTTCTGAGGACGCCGCCAAGGAGAGACGCGTTGAGGCATTCAGGGGGCGAGAGCCGTCTCTGAACTTCTCCCACAGTTACTTTGTATTTTGAAGTTGAGCTGAGCAGAGATAAACGGCCTGGAACCGAGCAAAAGACCTCGCCGGTGTTGACGGACATCCCTCCCAAGAAGCCATCTTTATTCATCATTAGAGAAGTGACAGATTTGGGAGGGACAGGAACTAGGGAGAGATGGAGAGAGGGGGAAAATGTTGCCGTAAAGGTGACTGAGCTTCAACCCTCCTGACTGATAGGACGAGGCATCTGGGAAGGCCACGTGGCAGCCACCCAGTGGAAAGCTTAGGGGGAGTCAGCTACTCCAGTTGTTCCCAGCCTCACTGCCTTCCCAGGGCTGGGAACCGACCCAAATGTCACCATTCCTGTGGAAACTTACCCCAGATGACAGTTCACATGAGTGTCGCTTGCCATAGCCCTGTTCACCACACATCAGGGAAACACTCAACCTCGACCTTGGATCACCGCTGTGAATCTAGGCAAAGCCTATTAGGTCCCCTGCTTCTAGTGTGACCTTGAACATTTCGCAGACTCCTGATCTCAGTTTCCTCATCAGCCCTCCCAGGATAACACTGTCTCATTAGGTACTTGAGAGTGAAGATTAATTTCACCGTTCTCTGGGATCAAATGTTAATGTCCATGATCTTTAGCGGAATTTCTCCTCTCTGACTGGACCCAAACCTGTGGCCATCAGTAAAGATGGGGGTGGGGAGGTGAGGCGGGCAAAGAGCTGCTTTTCCCCGTGATAATGTAACCTATTTTTACCCTGGCATAAAAACCACAGCGAGATCCATTTAGAAACGTACCCAAATGCTCATCTCCAGTGAGAGCAATTCAGCAGCGACCTGAGTTTTGTTTACAAATTAAAGCACCGGCTTGTGATTGTTTGAGCGGTTATGATTTACAACAGGTGCCCTGATCAATCAACCAATCACTGTAATTCGTGTGAGCGGTGGCGGTCTTGCCTTGCCCCAGTTGTTTCGTTTCAGCAAGTAATTGATAACAAACCACACTCCAGGTATGTTTTATGCAGCAGCTAATAAGAGCTGACAGCTGGTTGCCACTGCTACCCTGGTGCATTCAGCCTGTATTTAGGCTTAATTGTGTTTCCCTGTCATCTGCACGTCAGGAAGAGGCTGAGCCAGGTGGAAGGCTGGGGAACACTGTCCTGGCAGGCGTGCCCTTTGGACTTCTCCTGATTTGTCCTACTTCTCCCATGCTCCTTTCTTACAAGGAGAATTCATGGAAACATATATCTAGTATCGAAAGAAAGGTAACCTGCCCCGCTGGTCTAATCACGTCCACGTCACACTCTTTAAATCTGGGCGGAAAAGAGGCATGCTACCACGTGAGGTCTAGGATTTTATGAGAAAAGATGTCTAACTTCTCTTTGGCAGGACAGATAAGAGAAGGCTGTGCTTCTCTTTCAGCTGACTTTTTACATCACAGATTTCAGCATTCAGACTCCATGGTTATTGAGAGAGTTCCAAAAGTTAGGTGCTTATTAATTTAATTTGGTGTATTCCAAAACCTGGTGAAAAGCAGCTTCTGTAAGGGAGTGAATTTAGACACTAAAGCACTCCCTTTGACACTTCTTGGTTGACACATTGGAATTTCAAGACCTGTTGTGGATGTCCTAGACCTGGTCTAGTTGGAGGAATAAGGTTAGAAAACAGTTCATCTTCTGCACTGTCATGGGGTGGAGGGGCACAGTCCAAAGCAGTTTTGATTTTCTGGACACCCTGCCCATAGTTTCTCTGGGGACTGCTACCCATTTGAGAATAAAGCAGCAAAATGTCAAAGTGTCTTCATCAAACCTGAGTAACCCTTGGAATTCATAAATCTCTTTGCAATTGGGTGATTGGGATGGAGTCATTCTGCCACTTGATTTTTGTACACAGTATGCACCTATATTTGAATCTATTCTCATAGCATTCCTAATGCCTATATTTCAGATTCATATTCCAGTCATCATATGCAATCTTATACTGGTGCTCAGTGGTATGACATCAGTTTGGGAAAAGCTTCCCCTAAAAGTAGATAGCCTTTTGAAGTTTTAACAAGAGAACTATAGCAATAAATTATCTCAAAGGTCTCACCTTTGATACTTGGCAGCATTTTTATCTTTGACATTGCTTAGAATATTTTCATGACAAAACAAGCCTGGTAAACCGACAGCTGATGTTATACATAATGAATCAGTATCACTTACACAGTAGTTTCCCTGGTTTCCTATTTCCCAGATACCAAATTTCTTGAAAACTTAGGCCTTCAGGAAGACATTATACCCAGTTCTTTAACTGTCCTATTGCTGATTGCCTGAGTCAGCTGATAGGAGCTGTTTCCCTTAGAGACAGTCAGGGACTCCCTCCCCTGGACTGTACCTCTCTGCGTATAAATGTGCACATCCGCTTATGCGGCACACATCCACCTTAGGAAGATCACCTCCCCCATGAAGAAATAAAAGCTCACAAAGTAAACAGAAGTGTTTTCAGTTATATTCCCATTTTCTATCAAAATCGTGTTCCTCCATTCCATCCTCAGTTTTCAACACCAACTCACACCCCAACCCCTGGCTCAGCATGGATTTCCTAAACCACACCCTAGATATTTCTCTTCCTGGCTTTCCTTCCCGATAGCTTCCTGCTCATCTCATTTTCCCCTTGGCCCTCACACCTGCTTAGCTCCGCTGATTAACCCTGTGTTTTATTCCCTCTGTCTTTCCCCTTCTGCTCTTCTCCAGCTTATCAATAAACCCAGAAAGCAACAGGGCCCAGTTGATTTGTTAGTAATTATGAACACACTATTCCTGCTCAGGGAGCCCAGAGATGCCTGAGACAGGTTTAGAGTGACAGCAGGAAATGCTAAGGAAATGGGGCATAGAAAGACTCAGCATGAAGCTTTAGGTCCTGTGCATGTTTACAATGTTCTGTGCAAACATTAAAAAGTGGGTATTCCCTCTCTTCAGCTCTTAGTTTGATGGTAAGGTCTAGTTCTCTCCTCTCTCTCTCTCTCTCTCTCTCTCTCTCTCTCTCTCTCTCTCTCTTCTTTCCTTTCCCCATGAATCATTCCAGAAAAGAAAAAATATCATGAATGAATTAGTATTTCTTTACCATGAGAGAAGTTCTAAGGAAAAGGAAGGGAAATTAGAGAAAACCTTGTTCAGTACTAGACTATATAAAGATTAGTGGGCCAGTACTTAATTTCTCTTTAAAAAAAAAAAGCTACTTCAGGGTGAAATTGCAAATTGGAGAAACTGTATTTGGCAAGACCTGTATTAGAAAGAGGGGAAGAAATGAACCTGCCTCACACATTAAAGGTGTGTGTCCCCCTCAGGAAAAAAAAAAACAAACTTGACAACTTTGAGAGCTACATTGGGAAGCAACTAAGAGATCGAGTACCCTAAAAGTAAAATCACTTCTCAGGGTCAGGAAACTACTACTCAAATTTGCATCCTCTTAAGTCTCCTTCTTGTGTACATTTTATTTAACAAGTTCAGCAGGTGTATACAGGTGGGCACCAAAATTGTGGTGAGAAGAAACACACACACACTCCCCAATATCCAATGTTGGCATTCCTTAATGGGAGAATCTGAGATCCTGAAATCTGAATGGATCTCATCGTGTTTTTAGAGTGTCATCCAACCTTGAGAAAGTCGTTTATCTTCTCAGTCTGAGCACTTGCGCATTCCCACACTTGGGGCAATGGAAAGGAATGTCTGACCTTTCCAGTTTTGGAATTCTATGACTTCTGATCCTTCTTGTGCTCTGTGTGCTCTGTGTGTGCTCTCTCTCTCTCTCTCTCTCTCTCTCTCTCTCTTTCCCCTCTCTCCTCTTCTCTCTCTTCCCTCTCTCTCTCTTTCCTCCTCCTCCTTCCTCTCTCTCTCTCTCTCTCTCTCTCTCTCTCTTTCTCTTTCTCTCCTCTCTCTCTCTGGAAAAGTGAAGTTCTTGAGAGGAAACACAACTTTCCTGGACTCAGATGCGGTGTTCCTTCTAGGCAATAAGGAAGAATCTCAAAGGAGTCTGCTAGAATTGAGATTTGGCAATTTTATATTTCCTCCTCTCCAAGAAAACCCACACCAAAGTGTTTGTGTGGGGAAGGGGCCAGAACTAATGGAGAAAACATGGGAGAGAGTGGAGGTTGAACTAAAAGTAACCCAACAGGATATCCATAAGACCAACAAAAATGGCCCACAGACACAGAATTTGAACCTTGGACTCAGGCCTCAATAACCTTTCCAAGAAATTCTGACATATTTTCTGCTGTCTAATGTGTCAAACCGGTTGTATGTTGGTCGCTGATTCCAATTCCCCTTTCTTCAAGCCTAGGTAAGTCCTTTAAGTTAAGCCATAAGAAGATGGCAATGATCATTTATGTGAGCTGGGCACTTCCCCCACCCGTCCCCACCCAGATTCCTAATCTTAATGGAACTGAGAGTTCAGAATGATTTTTTAATGTCTCGTTGGATTTTTAGACTGTTAATGTACCGAATCCTTCTCATTATTACTTTATTGATTGCTCATTGACCAGCCCCCTTCAAATCGTATTAACCACCCTCTGCCGGTTTAGATTAGAAGAGTTTAAAAAGCACCTTTCATTACCCCCCCCCCCCCAATTCCTGCCACAGAGTTGAGACTCGGCAGCTTAATGGGAGCTCTAATGGGGCAGCTAAGAAGAGAGGGGCCACGGTCCCTGCCGATTGCATTAATAGCTCAAAGGGGGCCAATACAGAAAATTAGCCGTAAACGAGCTCTGGAGATCTTCAAATGAAAGAGCCATTTATCACGCTGGCTACCTTCACTCCACTCGTTTGCTCTCTCTACTGGGAACAACTCATTTCCTCTTAACTAAATTACTTCAGAAATGTCAGCTAAGCCCACACAGCAAACATAACAAGAGAGGGAGTCTATAATGTATGAGGTGATGTCAACAGGGAAGAAAAAGTAGATGGATTAAATTTTAGGAGTAGCCATGACACAACTGAACAGAAAGACACAAAGATAGATAAATACATCTTCTATGCCTAGGTTGTTAGGCTCAATAAACATAGGAGCAAAGATGTGTAAATGTAGACCAGTTGCTGGCCTCTTACCAATGAAGCGTAATTTTCTAAAAACTGTCTAAATGCCCATTAGAAAACAAATTAAGCAACCAAGTCCCCTGCTAGTTGCTGAAATTTAGAATATTCAGTTCAGGAAACTTTCTCACCTCTCCACAGAATTAATCTCACAGAAGCATCCCTCATGGGGATGAGACTATGCAAAGACGAGAGATGAGAGGCTGGGAAGGAGCTAATGAACCCATAACTTTATTTTAAGTGGTTCCTGGTGAGTTAGAAAAATAAATCAAACATTTGTTCATTTTTTGCCCATGGCTTTAAAAAGATAAAAATGTGATATTAGAATCTCTTCTTCTTGTAATAAAGCAAACATTTCAAGTATCAAATAATAGAACCAACCTAACATTCATATTTATACTACTCACCCCAAATCAATTAGCATGAGTAGGGTGTTACCTTAGTGTTTTAAGCCGTGAATGCTTTTTAAAAAGCTTTAGGGGTAAAACATGCAGCAGTCTCAGAAAAACAGAGCATGCAACTTTAGTCACCAGTCTCCTTTATCTCTGGAAACAACCTCATGCATAAATATTCATGTTTCTCTGGCAAACATATTTAAACACTGCAACCAGTGCTTCCCACATCTAAGTAAATTGTGAATCCCATTTTGCTGGGGCAAGCTAAGTTCCAAATATTTTTATTGGCCTGACTATTAATAACATTTCTGATTGGTCATCTGCTGGGCATGTCCCTCTGCCAGCAAATTGATGTTGCTAGGATACGGAACCCTGAGCTGAGCTGTTCTAGCTTTCCACCGAGAGGGAGGGGGGATTAAAATAACAATGACAAAAGGGAACAGGAAAGCTCCTCCCTCACCCACCCCAATCAGCCAGCAATTAACCAAAAGAGAAGACTCCTGAGGAACCAGAGAAAGTGAGCAGTCAGCAGGGCTGCCAGACCGAGCTCGCACCCTGATAGTACCAGCTGAAGGTGGCATTACCTAAAGAAGAGATGGAGAAACACTGGGCAACATTTTAAAGCCTACTTTAAAAATCATTCCAAACCCAAAAGGCAGCACTCAGCTACTGTTTTCCCTGCCTACCTCACACAGCTACATATCCGTGACTTTCTAGAGGGGGGAAAATTCAGCATCCTCTTAAGCTTTTTGGGATCCTTACTCCACAAGCTGCCAACTACTACTCCTCCAATTTGAGGCTGGATGGATTGCTATCTAAATTATCGTTTTCTTTAATTATTTTTCTGAGTGTTAAGTGGCTCAAGCGAATCACAACTGACTGAAGTTGGAGACTGTTGACTCCAAGTATAAGGACCATCTCCCTCTAACCTCAATAAGCAAGGACTATAGTCATTAAAGCTGTGTTTTCCAATACCAATCCGTATGATAATTAAAGACCGCACTGTGTACACACATTCGAACTCTTAAATTTGTGGGCACGCAAGTGACATTCGGGCCTTGAAGCAGCTACTCTAATCGTCAGACATTCTCTCAGTGACTGTCAGAGAAGAGCAGGGAAAAAAAAATTAAGCAGCTGCAATACGCCTGAAATGAGTTATTGTAATTACATTTAATTAGTTTAATTAGTTAATTATTTTGCTTACAGCTGTACAAGAGACTGCAAACATTTGTTAATATCACATGCCCTCTAACAGTATGGGGTGATGCCACAGCCACAGTCAATCATGAGTGCGTATGCAGGAAGATCTAGATGCAGGCATAGTCTGTCTCAGCCTCTCAGGGGGAGCATATTTAGCAAAGCATTTGGCACAATTAAAAATAATAATAACAAAAAGAAACAACTCATAAGACATAGAGAACTGGTACCAAAATTACCACCACCACCACCACCAAAAAAAAAAAAATCAAACCAAAAACAAGGGGGGAAACAGGCTAATTTAACATAGCTAAATCCAGTTATCAACCAAGTAACAATAGAACATTTTTGAAACCAATGCTTCCCAGCTGTTTCTACACATCATAATGGCTCAGACATATAAGATGCATTTAGAATGGCTACCTGATGTATTATGAAAATAAATGGCAATTGTCAATATAGCTCTATTTCTCCAATCCTGGTTTTTAACTGAGTTTCCATTCTGCTTGGTCCCATTTTTTTCCCCAGCATACCCTTTTACCTAGTCTGATAGTCATTAAACTGATTACAACAGACATTGTTTTGTGATATAAAATGATGAATACCCCCAAAGTGAAAGCTCAGCATAAAGACATTGAAATCGTTGCTTACTTTTGGAAGGAACAATCCATACCTTTTTTAATGACTGACTGGTCCAATAGGTTCATGCCGCTGTTATTGGCATCTTCAACTGACTGTGAAGATAAAAACATCACCATTCAAATTGACTGTATATTAAAGAATTGCATACATAAATCATGTCATTCTAAACGGGAGTTTCTATTATTTCCATTTATATTAATTCGCAAAGGAGGTTTTATTATTATCCTTATTATCCCCAAATCGACACAGAAATGAAATTCACTGGAATGGCAAATTCTCCCAGTAGAAAAAAAAAAAGGAAAGCAGAACATACTAGGGACAGCTGGGATGCAGTACTGGTTTTGTTATTATCTGAAACACAGATATCACACAGGCATATAAACTTTTAGATTACTTGCCCATATGAATTGTGAAAAGTTGGCAACACCTGAAAGATTTTTCACCAATATAAGTTAAGAGCAATTTCGGTTTTTCTTTCTATCCCAGTGTATTTAACCCCAGAGCCATTTTTACAAATACATAACAGTTTACATTATGGGATTTTAATTAAAGTCTGAGCAATTTGGAATGGAATGCAAACAGCAATACAAAACCCTCCAGGACCTCACACCCACTGAAGTCCACACACACACACACACACACACACACACACACACACACGTTTCTGTGTTTCTGTGAGCTCTGAGCTTCTTGGTGCAAGATGATAGTCCCTGCATAGTCCATACACACCCTTTCACCATGCTGGTGAAACCGCCCAGCAAGGTGCACAGCTGTTAGGGAGGCAGTAACTATAGACACAGGCACACAGATACATATGCAGTCAAAAGAACTGGATCCTTCTAGTCAACACCTTGGTAATCACAAGCAATATCAGTCTTCAGTTTCATCCCAGAGAGGGGAAGTTTCAGCTCAGAATTGGCAGCACTTCTGAGAGAATAGTTGTTGGAGTGAGTTCCTAGCTGTCAGGATGCCTGGGAACTGGCCTTCTAGCTGTGCATTGCAAGGTGTCAAAAAGCAAAGATTCCACCCTCCCCACTTCCAAAGACAATACCCACTGTCTTTCCGAATCTCACGACTGCTTCACTTGGTCCTTTGGAACTTATGTCTGGACCAATTTGTCACCCACTCTGTAAAGCAGTGTAAAAAGATCTTGGGAATGAGGTGTTCCCCCAGCACTTCCTACCCATTCAGGATGCTTCCTTGAACAGGGTGTGTGTCCATCACAAGAAAAAAAAAAAGCCTGCCACAACTGAGCAAGTGTGGCCTTAGAAGAGAGCCAGCGGGTAGGGGGAAGGTATGCTCATTTCTTTCTTTTCATTTTTACTAGACACCTTGCTGCTCTTAGAAAGCTAAGGGTGGGGTGTTTCTTCGTTCAAACTGTTTCCTACATTGTAGACCTCCATAAACACCTTAATAGTGAAGAGTCACCTTAAAAATATTTCCTGAAACTTGTTCATAAGTTTCCAGGGGACCTTGTCACACTCAGAGGCACGGTCACACTCACATTGCCCTTTTCTAAACTTGTGAGTCTGTTGCCAATGGCTTCGGGTCCACCCAGGCAGGACGGAAGTATTTGCCTGTGTTTGTGGGAGCAAAACCCATCACATAAGGTCCTGGACCCATAAGCCCCCACACCTCTTGCTCATGTTGGTGCGCAAATATGTATCTCCGCCTCATCAGCGACGTGGGGTAGTTGTGGTAGTTAATGAGAAGGCTCTTGTCTGATTTTCTATCTAATTACGGCCGCCTGCTGGGTTTTTGTACAGGATATTCACGCAGCATGCTGGCGCTTAATCGTCACAGGGAGGATCGTAAAGATTTAATTAGGACTGCATGCGGAAGCGCAGAAAAACAACTCAGACTCATAATTACTAGACTTCTTTAGTTAAAAGTGATACCAGGGATTGCTTTAAGACACAAGGGTGTGTTTGAGCATACTGTAGTGTGTGTGTGTGTGTGCGTGTGTGTGTGTGAGAGAGAGAGAGAGAGAGAGAAAAAGAGAGAGAGAGAGAGAGAGAGTGTGTGTGTGTGTAGGGTTCACTTAAAAGCTTTATATGTTGATACTCATGGGTGGTAGAGGTGATGGGAGGTTAGAAAGCCAAGCTGTGAAGAAGTAGACGCCCACGCGGCAACTAAACAAATCCACAACTAGATGTCCCTTCGTTCTCTTTTTCTGTAGTCATTTCCCCCTGAGTTTTTAACACTGCCCCCCCCTTCCCAATGGGTGAAATGTAGCGTACCCGGAACCCAGACAGCGATCTGCTAGTTTAATAGCCCCTGTGAGTAAATTGAAATAGAAATTGACAGGGTTTTATAGTTTCATTTAAAAAAATATTAGAAGCATTTGGTTAATTAGCTCCCCCCTCTTTTCTCTCACAGGGCGGCGGCCTTGTGAGTGTGCCCTTAGGTCACATGAAATGCCCCCAATGCTGGACCTGTGCACAGGGCCCATGGAGTGCCCTCTGGCTCTGTCTGGTCCCTGGCTTCCAGTGTCCTCAATGCACATATTCCAGACCCTTGAGACAGAACAAGTGACTTGGAGGGCCAGGCAAAACTACTCTGCTCTCACTTCTCGGGGGTTCAGAAGGGTCCAGTTACCCCCTTGGATCTGTTGCTTGGTGTCTGAAGACCTGGCAGCTTCCATAACTTTTAGCCTCTGCACTCCTCTAGACCCCGAGCTTGGCAGTAACCCCTTTTCCGGGAGAGGGGAAGCTGATCTACTGCCTTTCTGCATCTAAAGCACAAACCTTCTCATTCCTTCCTTTTACCCTAGACTCAGGAGGCCTGTCACTGGGACCACACTGGACCAGGGCTGCTGAGGGACCAACCTCACACAATTAGTTCACTACTGAGACTCGCATAGGTTGTATTCCCCCATCCTTTTCATACTTAGGGTTGTAAAGGTCCCACAAGCCTCTCCACAATGCCAGGTTATCAGCTGGAGGAAGGACAGGGGAGCCAGGTGCACTTTCTACCCCCACAGTCTCTGAGCAAACTGCATCAACTCAGGATGGAGCTGGGCTCACTTAAGCACTTTAAATCTATCTGGTTGCTTTGATTATGTTATTCCCCCAAAAGCACTTCCCTGACATTGTTTGTCCCCTCCCTTTGCATTTTGCTAGACACTCAAAACCCTTTAAAGTTCTGACTTAAAGAAAGCATTCTAAAACCAAAGAATCCCCCCCCCCCATTTTGGAGAGATATTTCAGGGCTCAGTTCCCTGAGTCCCTTGGCCTGAAGGGAAGTGGTAGTAGGTGATGTTCTCATCCACAGTTACAGTAATGGGGATGTATAGTGTAGTGGGTGATGTTAGCATCCCCAGGGGAATAGGGGTGTGAGGTTGATCTACCTTCATTATCCAGCACTTTGAACCATACTCAAAAAGGTTAATTTAAAAACTCCCCCATGCCTATTACGCCAAAGCATTAAAAAAAAACAATTCAATATTTCTTTTCTTACATGGTATTCTAAAATGAGCAATACTTCCAGACAGGCACAGCTCAGTAAAACCAACAAAACCATCAGTTGTGGTACTGCGGGTGAATCCAGCCACAGACCAGGTGGTTTCTTCCTTTTTAATAACAACGTTTCTCTGAAACAATGAGCCATCACAGACCACACAGAGATGCTGTTTGATTCTGTCTCCACATTTTGACTATACATATGTGTATATGTATGTATACATACATACGTACATACATACATATTCACAGCAAAGTAAAGAGGAAGGGCTTGGCTATCTTCTCTTTCCCATTTCGCTTTCTTCTTTGCCTCAGAAATAAGTCTACAGTGATGCATAACAAATTCAACTATGCCAATAAGATCCAAACATCAATTAAATGCCTTACAACAATATTTATCTTTTCTGGAGACCCTTTAAATTGGGGGAGAGTGTGTGTGAAGATGAACTGTTCAGAATCACCCTGACAGTATTTAGGAATCTTTTCTTTGATGTTTCTTTGTTTAGTTTAACCAAGGGTTCTCATCCAAGTCGGCCTCCATTGTGTAGGCTGCAGATGGGATACTCCGTGGCTGGGGGTTTGTTCTGAACCTTTTGTTTTAAGAAATAAACACATGCTGCCTCTTCAGAGGGGACAGTAGCATTGGGGAGGGGGTGACAAGTGTCAGGAGAGGGCTGAAGGGGAAGATGGGAAACACTGCTTTCCAGTTAACCAAGTGGCCTTCAGATGATAGTTCCAAAAAAACGCTAACAGTCCTAAAGGACTCCCAGAACCCAGTTGCAACTTTCTGAGCTTGTCCCGGCAAAGATCCCATCGCTGGCTCTAGAATTCGTCTGGAGAGAAGGGCTTTGAAGCTTTTGGAAATTCAAAGCAAAGGGGTCTTAAACAAACACAGCTAACGACCCTCTTCCAAAGCAACATCGTTCCTAGCAGGCTTTGCAAAAGGGGAGAACACCTGGAGCCTTCAGGGGCCCTTGAGCCTTCTTGCTTAGAGCTCTGTTCTCTAGACAGCCAGTACTTTAGCCTACGAAGCCACCGGGACAGGCTCACTCTGGGGTAAACCTAGTGCCTACTTCTTCACACAAAGCAAAAGAGAATGCACGTGTCCAGTAGCTGAGTCAAGATGAAAACATTAGCCTTGATAGCAATGACTGTAAACTATCACGAACGTATTTCCTCCTTCAAGATTTAATTTCCAGCTCTCCTGTCATTCACAAACGGATCTCTAGAAACTGCCACCTCGTAGTCACACACTCAAACACACACTTTTGTCCTGTCCGGTCCGTCCGGTTCTAAAGATGACAACCCCACCCCCACCTCCAGAAGACCAGGCCGCCCTCCTCCTTCTCGCATTCTTCTTTTATTATCTTTTATGTTTGTTTATTTGTTTGTTTGGAATTACCTGCACATCTTCCATTCCGGGATGCCCAAGACCGTGCAACGAGAGGCTGTCGCCCATGCCGGCGTCCAGGCCGTGGTGTGCCGAATGTAGCAGCACGTCTGGCCGCCGGACAGAGTGGTAGTCCCTTCGGGGGTCAAGGCCCGAGAGCTGGGGCAAGGCTGCCCGGGGCTGGGGCAGTAGAGAGCCGGCTTCTGAACCCACTTCTTGTCTCTGTCGCTGCCCCCAGGGATGCTGCTGGGGCTGATGGAGAGGGTTCAGGGAGTAGGGGTCGTTGACGTGAGAGTAGGGGTCTTGACTCTGGTGATAAGGTAGTGGCTGGTAGGGGGGTGGGAAGTAGGGTGGCTGGAAGTCCGATGATGGCGTGTGGGACAGCGGCGGGGCGCTCGAGTAGGGGCCTTGGGACACAGAGCCCAGCTGAGAGAGTCTCGAGCTATGGCTTGGGACGCCATCGTGCCGGTCCTGGGAGTAGAGAAGAGAGAAGGAGGAGAAGGAGGAGAAGAAGGAGGGAGGAGGGAGAGAGAGAGAGAGAGAGAGAGAGAGAGAGTTCGGTTTCTTTACAACTTTCCCCGGATAAGGGAAGGGAAGCAAGAGGCTAAACCTTAGACCCAAGCTGACTCAGGGCCACATGGTAAAATGTCAACAGTCCCACCGGGAAGCTTCAAGGGGACTTAACTACAACAGAAATCCGGAAGCTCACCCACTACCAGGCCTATGAGCCATCTTTGGAGAGAGCAAAGCAGGCAAAAAGGGAGAGGAGAAGGAATGGTGTGGACAGAGATAGCTCAAAGCCTTGAGTTAAGAATGTACCACCCAAGGGTGATGTTTGCTCTCCTAAGTGTTTCCTGCTCCCACCTCTTCAAGAAATCCAAAGTCCACCAAGCAAACCTTTTTAATAGCTGTGGTACTGCTCTGGTTGAAAAAAAAAAAAAAACACTTCTGCCTTCACAGGCAGGTAGCTGGCAGGCCCCGGGGCTCACACAAGCAGGAGATTCCCAGAGCAGGGAGGCATCTGCCTGATCAGAGCTTCCAGCCACCCCTCCCTCCCCAAGAGGAATTAAATAACTTAGAGTTTGATTGAAACGGATCTCCTCTGCAATCACACCCTAAGCCCACGTTAAATTGAGTTGTGGTTTGCAGGAGTTATTTCTGAGCTTGCTCGCCATAGCGCACGCTATTATACTCAGGGTGTTAAAATAAGGAACTGAGGTTGGGAGGTGAAGAGATAACCCCCACATCTTTTTTCCCCTCCTCTCCGGAGTGGAAGCCAAGTGCGAGGAGGAGGAAGTGCAGGACACTTTAAGTTTCTCCCCATCCTTTGTGGTAAAAAGTCCCCCTGGTCCTTTCTGTAGAAGCAGCCACCTAAATTTCCAAACTGCCTTGACAAATAAAAAGTTTTTCGGCTCAGCCTCACCCCCTCCCAGCTGACTCTCAGACAAGGAACACACAATGCAGAGGGAAGCAGCTGCAGCCTCGTCCAATTATGGTGCTAAATTACCAAGCCAAAGGCACTCAAAGGAAGACAGAGAGACAGAGGGAGACAAACACACAGATGCAGAGACAGAGAGACAGTGAGAGGAGAAGGCATGCACTTCTGGTACAACGGGAATCCGAACTCACCATGGATGAATAGGTGTGGACTAACATCTGGAAAAAAAAGCCTGGTTACTGCTCAAAATCAAACAATGAAATTTCAAAAATCAAAAAGTCCAGCAGAGAAGCAAGCTGGACACAGGAGCTGAGCTTGAGGTGTTTCCTCGACAAGCCATCAAAAAAAAAAAAAATCCCCCTCCAAGAAGATTGGAGGTGCCTGTCACAGACAGGCAGGCTGTTCGTCTGTCTCTCACCGTCTTTTTGGCCTCTTTTCTTCGGCGGGTTCTTTGGGGCTCCAGAAACAGTCCTCTTCCACCCGAAGCTGGGCTCAGACTGCTCGGGCGCCCCTTCCTCCCTCCGCTTGCCTACACCGCCTCATAATAATTGATATTCATGACTATTAATATTACACGAGTACTTTAAAGGGAGAATGGAGGACAAATGGAGCGTGAAGCAGCAGCGAGCTCAGAGCTCCTCCACTATTGTAAATGACGTTCATTCAGTGGAGAATTACTAGATGTAATCAGACGAGGGGGCTGGCGGAGGCAGACTGGGGGAAAAGTTTAGCAGGAAAGAGGCAGAACTTCAATTAACTGAGCTGGGACGCTCGCTCTCGTCAGACAACCTCTGCTCTTTGGATTCGGCAGTGTGGGGGAGCAGGGCTAGGGGGCTCCCAGAGAATGTAGGTGTTCTGGTATACAGAGGGAGACTTTCCCAACAGGGAGGAGGTGGCCCTAAATAAAGTGCTTGGTGTGCAGATGAGAACGCAAACTAGAAAGGCTTTGCCTGGTCATCTGGAGGGAAAAGAAAAGTAAATAGCTGGGCCTGTTTGTTTACTGGGAGCTACACACAGACTTTTTCTGAATGTAGATTTAGCTTTTTTCCCCCTCTAAGACCTAGGAGAGATGGGGGAGGTGTTGAACTCAGTGCTGTTGCCTTTTCCTTTTCGGTGCTTATAGCCTGCATTTTTTTTTTAAACCGAGATTTAAAATATATGCAATCGGTCTCTTCAAGCACACTAAACGTATCCTTTCTAGGCAAAGCCAGGGGCAACAGAAAATCTTTTGGGATGTTTCAGGAACCCGTTCAACTGGCCTGACTGCCGTTTAGGTTAAATTTCAACTGTAGCCCAGACTGAAATAGGCTCCTTCTACCAGGCTGTGTGCCCGATCTCCAGGCTTTTCAGCTGAAAATTTAGGCAGCCTAGAATAAGGCACTCTCTCCTCCCTCCCCTCAGTCTTCTCTCCTCTCCTTCCTCTCCTAGCCCGTTTTCGTCTTTTCCTCACCCTCCCTCCTTTTCTCTCCCTCACCCCCTCTCCTCTCTTCTCTCCCTCCCCTTTCTCTTCTTCCTTCCCACTTTTATTCAACCCCACTCCTTGCCCTCTCCCCCTCCTTTTCCATTTAGTCGTTTATTTTTCATAAGCAAGGAACCAGCATCCCTCTGATTACTTTAATTCCTCTGCCTATACCCAGAGCTACTTCCACTGCAGCCCCAGCTCCGACAGCGGCACGTTTGCCGTGGGTGATGTGTTTTTTAGAATAGTTTAGCGACCTGGACTAGCATAATCCCGCCTGTTAGGAAAGAAAGGCAGGCCAGAGCAAAGCAAACCCTGCCAGGTCGGAAGATACGGCCCCTCAGTACAGTCAGTACACAACTACAAAGGGGAGACGAAACCTGGAGTCACCCCAGAAAGAATCTCTCTCTCTCTCTCTCTCTCTCTCTCTCTCTCTCTCTTCTCATTTTCTTCCTCTTCCTTTCCTTCTTTTTCCCCTCTGTTTTTCTCTTTTTCTCTCACTTTCTCATTGACCTTCAAACGAGGTCTTCGAAATGGTGGGACTGGGACACACTGAACCACTGACTGGAGGCGCTTTTTCCCGGCTCCCTAAGGAGTCGCAGTCACTCGGGCGGACCCTGCCAATAGGATGGGGAAGAAGCTGGCGACTGCTTCAGACTCCCCTTAGTTGGGCAAGGCCAACCGTTGCCGAGCTGTTGCTCCTAGTTCTCACAGGGCTCCCGGCTCCGGCCCCGGTCTCTTTCCTGACGGTTCGTGAGCCTGAGTTGCCCACCTCCGTCCCGTAATCCAGCCCAGTGCTGCCGGTGCGGTGCCGGGGGACCGGGTTTCATGGCCTCTGCCTTCTGCTCTCCAACTTTTCCTGGTGGTCTCCCGCTTCTGCCTCCCCGCTTCGCTAACTCCCTTTCGCTTTCTTTTCTTTTCCGGATCTCGAAAGCTTTTCACGAAGCTCCAGAACCGTTCTTCCCTCCCTCGACGTCCACTTTGAGTCTTACTTCCCTTTCCTCTTTTTCTTGAGCTCAGCTGGGGAGTATCCCCAGCTCCGGGACTGTGGCTTTTCCTCCTGCATCCATCCCCGGCCCCTGCCTCCTCGCCTTGCCAGCGAGCTGCAAAGGCGCCGGGCGACTCAACAACCTCGCTCGACGCGGACTCCAGAAGTGAACGGTGGAGTCCGGGGAGGAGGAGGTCGAAGCCCAGGAGGGACGCGCTCTCCCGGGCACTGGTAGCCGGGTGCACGAAGTGCGGGCAGACTTCGTTAAAAAAATGCCCACACGCAGGCGGCTGCCATCTCTGCTTGGACCCATTGACCCGCAAAGAAGCAAAACACAAGAAAACAAAAATAGCAAACGGTGCCCTCTCCCCGTACTGTACTCTATCTTTTCGTACACCCGTTCTTTCCCCTCTTGCCCTAGGTGTTTACTCTGTACCAGAATCCGTTAATTACCGATTTTAGAAAATTTATTTTAAAAAAAAATCCAAAGCTCGAGTTAAAGTGAAGCTTGAAAACCCGCTTCTCTCCCGAACTCAAAATGAGGGGAGAATGCTTTTCTCTGTCTACTTAAATTCTGTGGCTCCACGTTCCCCACCAGAACCTACAAGGGGGAGGAGAGAACCGGAGAGAAAGAAAAAGAAGAAAAGAAAAATAGCTCTTAAATTAAAGTTGCCAGATTCCAACCTTAAAAGTCCCCTCCGTCAGGAGAGTGAAGTCTACTAGAGGCAGCCTTAGAAAACTTAAAGAAACCTCAGAAACCTCGGAAATCTGCTAGGAAATAGCTTAAAAATATGTCAACTGGGGTGTCAAGAAGCTCCAGTTTTCTACGTAAGGAAGCTCTAAAATGCATCTGGGGGTGTCCGCTCACCTCATAGATGTCTTCGTACTTGACATTCTCCACGAGTTTCCAGAGCATGATGGCAGCCTGGTCTCTAGGAGGTGAGTGCATTCATGTGAGGAGCAGATGTCTGGCTTCTCAGGACGCCGCTGTCTGTAATGATCCATCTATAATTGGAAATGGGGGATACACACCAAATCCGACGCTCCTCTCCCATCGCAACTTATATCTGTTGTCTCAAACAATAGGCTGGAGAAGTAAGCCTCAGCAGACAGAAAAACATTATTGCACACAGGACTTAGATACAACGCGCACGCACACACACATACACACACATACACACACATACACACATACATATTATAAAAATCATAAACACGAATTTACACGCAGATACCCACATTTAGTTACATAAACACCTCTGGGTTGCAGAATTCATAGATTAAAAGGGTATTTAAAGGGAAGATAGCTTTCAAAGCAAGTAATATAAGTAGATACATTTAAAAAAATCTCTATTTTGAAAATAGTGAATCATCGAAGCTACCAACTAAAGTCTTATAACAATTGATAATGAGAAAGTAGGGACACCAGCCCCCTCGTTTTCTACATAGTTTTTTTTAAAGGGGACCATTATTGAGATTTTAAAACACAAATATCCTATTCCTGTGTGCTCAGTAGAGTATTAGAAAAAAAACTAGATTCTTTGATTTTTAAGAGCTATTTTTCCCATATGATAGCTGTGCAAATTTTATAACCTACAGTATCATTGTAGAACAATAACAACAACAAAAACTATTTGCCACAATGATTTCTGATATTTTTGTTCATTTTGCCTAACACATTTGGCAACTTGACTATCTTGTGGACCCTGCAGTCTATATGGCTTGTAGCTCTGGAATGGTTGTGTGTTTTCACTGGATGCTATGTGTCTTTCTGTTTGCCTGGGGTTTGCATTTTATCAAGTTTTCTTTTTTCTTTTCCTTTCTTTTTTCTCACATGTTAAAAACAACAAAGCCCACAATGCTAATTCTGAGACTTTCAATAGAGGTGTAGGACATTTTATGTTTGTTTCTGTTGTCTGTAATTTGTGATTTTAACTTGATAGATTAAAAAACTGGAGAAGCAGAATCTTCGAGAAGGTTTAAGCTTTATACTCTTTAAGAAGATAGTGGGGAATGTTCAAGTGTTAATTTGATTTTGTCAGGTTGGTTTGGGGGTAGATGTTCTTTTGGATATGTGATTTGTGCAGCTTAATTTATTTCTTAAGCATAAATAATAACAAGATCAAAATTAAGCTAGCCTCAAAGGAATGCCTTGTAAGACTCAGAGTTTTTTGTTTGTTTGTTTGTTTTCACTACAAATTCTACATTCACTAGCTCTCTCCCTCAACCCCACCTTCCCAACCCCTCTGTTGTTTTCCTTCTCTCTTTCTGGGTGCGGAAGGTTCCCTGGAGCCAGAAGGGAGAGGCATTGAAGAAGATCTTGGCCCCTAGGGCAGAAAATAGATGACAGAAGGGAATGAGGAGGGTTGCGGTAATTTGGGGTGGGAAGTTATTAAACCTGATGAGAGTGAATCTGTAAAGGGCGTTCGGTTGTCTTTCAACCCAGGTATCCTATGCACTTTAGGGCTCCAGGCAGGGTCCCAGGCTCCGCAAACAGAGGGCTCCAAGCTGCCTAGGAAGACAGCGATTTTTTGATAGACAAATTGAGGACTCCTACCTCGCACACGGAACAGTTCTGCAAATCTATTATCGTCGTTACTGTTGTTGTCATCATTATTAATTTGCCGTAAGGTTAATGAAGAAAACGCAGGGTGCTTCAGATAGAACTTGAAAAACACGTCCTTTTCCTATTCCCTGTTGGATTTTTTTTCCGCCTTCTTCCTTTCCTCCTTCTTCCCACCCTTCCGTCCCTTCTCCCTTCCTCTCCCCCCTTTTCCTTCTTTCTCTTTCGCTTCTCCCTTTTATTATTTCCTTCTTTCCTCTTCTCCTTAAACAAAAAAATAGCATCTTAAACCACAAAACCAGACTAGTCTTCCAGCTTCAGCAGACACAGCCACCTTTCACCGCCAGAGTTGGTTTGGAGAGAGGAAATAGTTCTTCTTGATGTCATTGTGTGGCTCCCACACCCCTCTAGAACTGAAATCAGTCTTTGGTTGAGACTTTGAAAAATGGGTATTATAGATTTGGAAATAAAGATTCTCAAGACACAAACTTATTAACAATAATGCTCAGATCCCTTTCAAATCATCAAAACTCTTCATTACAGACATCCCCCACCCAAACCAAAAAATATTTGGAAAAACGGCCTTTTTCTTCTAAATATGTTGACGCTTTAAATCACTTTCTGACATATCTTTGATTAATTTTAAATAGAATCGAAGGTTTAATAAAATAGAAACCAAACTAAAGGTATAATTTTACATATGAAACTATTTAAATAGATAATAAGGTGTGCTAGTTTGATTATTTTGTAGTCTCATTTAGGTAGAATCGCAAATCTTCATTTGTGTTTTATTTTATGCTAATATTAGATATTTTTAAAAGTAGGAATGTACTTAGTATTTGTTAGAAATTATCAAAGTTCTTTACAGAACATTCAAAATAAGTCTGATTTTATTAAGAATAAAACAAACTTAAAATGTTTACACACATGCATACATACGTGATAACTACCCAAAGAAATATATAATGCTAGTAGAAACCCTTGTTAATTTGCAATGTGGCATTTTGTAAAAGAAAAAAAAAAAATCCCAGCAATTTCAAGGGAAACCTTTCTCTGGGAGCATTTTCTCTTTTATTGAACGGGCAACAGCGCCCTCTGTAGGAATTTTGAAGACTCAAACGCCGAATAGCAGCTTAATTTCGTTTTTCTTTTCTTTCCATTTCTTTCTTTCTTTTTTTTTTTTTTAAAGTAATGTCCCTCTTTCTTGGTTCTTGAAAACGTGTTAGCACTAAGAGCATTTGAAAACCCAACTCTTAGCAATCCGATAGCTTTATAAATACTCTAAAAAGTTTGAGCACTCCAAAAATGTACAAATTAAAAACTGAACATCTGAGAAATTTTTCATAAATGGAGACCTTTCTCTTGTCTACATTTTATTAATTTCGCGTCATCTCTATTCATACCTCTCAGAGAAAGAATCTCTCACAAATTCAGCCAACCGCGGATGCAAAGGCGGGGCAGGGTTTCTAAGGGACATTGGGTAAAAATAGGCATTTTCAACATTTTATTTCTTTTCCTGGACATACGCTCCCAGCTGGGTAGGAGCGCTCTGCAGACAACCTGCGAAGGCACCTACACCTTCTCACTTACGCATATTTAGTGCAGTTTATTACTGCCAAGAGGTGCGCTATTAATCCCACCCCCTTTCAGCCACAGATAAAGGAAATGTTGTCCAATAAGCATTGAAAGCCAGGGCGGCTAAGCAGACTCACCTGGCATGGCGACCTCTGCTGGCAGTTCTTGGAATAGGTTTGAGACTTAAAAATGTATGTTAAAATGATGACCAACTTTTAGCACTCTCCCTCCTATTTTCCTTCGGCAAATCTGATTGCTGTTCATCTGAGTCCCTTTTTACTACAACCAATCCTTGCACTGGTCTTTTGTAGGATGCCTACTCTACCTTTTGATTTCTTTTTTCATTGGGTTTTTCTTTCTCATCTTCCCCAAATATTGAAAAAGAAGAAAATCTACCACTTTAAGACTAGGACAATTGGGATAAGATTAATCCCTGACATCTCTCATTCCAAAATGAAACATATTCAATATCCTGAAGTCCCATGTATTGAGCTATGACTTGGGGATTGTTGCAGTTCAATTGATGAACAATGCCAAAATTTACCTGTAAAAAACTTTACACATAGTTTAATTTCTTGTTATAGTTTCAAAATACTGACATGAGTCTCAGGAAAGTTTTTCAGAATTATTTTTGCCCTGGATTTACAAGTAGGCAAAGGAACAAAATACAAAACAAAAAAGAGAAGGAGGGAGGGAGGAAGGAAGGAAGGAAGGAAGGAAAAGAAGGAAGGAAATAAGGAAAGATGGAATGAAGGGATGGAGGGAGGGAAGGAGAAAAGAAACAGAAAAGAAAGAGCCAGGTGTGTTGAAGCATAGCTTCAATCCCAACACTCAGGAGGCAGAAGCAGGTAGGTATTTATGAGTTTGAGTTCATTTACATACAGGACAGTAAAGGTGGAAGAGAGAGAGAGAGAGAGAGAGAGAGAGAGAGAGAGAGAGAGTTTCTCATGAGTCAACGTGGTCCAATCCTGTTGAACCATTTTACTCATCACAAACTTTACTGTTTATGGAACCTTACATAGGACAGGATGATGCATTGGTTTTACTGGATGACATGACTCTTTATCGCTCTATCATATTCTGTCATGAAACCTTTAATGATCACATCTTTTGGATGGTCTTTATTGCATATTTTAAAAATCAGTTTGGGAAAATTATTGTCGAGTAGGAGAAAACACAATTCAAGCACTTGCCCCGAGTTCCACAGGACTTTGGTATCACATTGCTTTCTGTGATTTGGATATGAGGACGCAAGATGGAAGGCAAATATTGGTACAAGACTGTTCTTAAAAATTAAATTTTGTTCATGGTGAGATCAGGCCAGTCAGGGTTATATAGTGAGTGAGACCCTTTCTCCATAAAATAAAATATAAAATACAAGTTGGGCAGAATTATCTCTAGATTGATATCTTATAGTAATACTGTAAAGAAACTATTTCTTATTTTACTCATAATACTTAATTAATATTTCCTTTGTGAACTCTTTTTTCTAAGACAAGTTTTAGTTACGTAGTTCATGCTTTCCTTAAAGAAGAAATCCTACTACCTGAACTGTTGAGAGCTGGAATCTTCAGCTGTATGCCATCAGGCCCAGCACATCTGTGAAGTTTTAAATAAATAAATATTTGCTAGAAATCATTTGTAAAATTAAAAAACAAGTGTAACTAAAAGTTTATACTTTCTTTGGACCCTCAAGGAGCAATGGTGACTTTATTAAACATTTTCAATATTTTGAAACCCTGGTTTACTGTGGGATTTGCAAACAGGTCAATGGAATAGTTTTCACACGTCTGTCTCTAGAGATACCGAACCTAAGGAATATGCATGGGAGGCTGGAATAAGTGA